ATTTTATCTATTTAAATTATTTTTAAAAATAATTTATTTATTTTTCATATAACTATAAATGATGCTCGAAAAGAATATGGAAAAAATAATAACAAGTAGATCCAACATAACTCAATTAGTTAAGTCATTATATTTTCAACCAAAAAGTCAAAGATTTGACTAAAATTACGACCGTTTAGTTGATGAGTTATGTTCGTGTTACAATGAAATTCCGTCTTTATTATTACATGTACGTGTGTATTATTGAATAATATTTTTTATTTATTTAAACGTGATGATTAGTGACAAAAACATATTTAACTTTAAAATAACTATATATTTGATATAATCTTTAATATAAAAAATGATAGTGATTACAATTTAAGAAAAATATAAGATTTGAACGAGACAACAAAAATATGATCATCACTTAAAAGTATGTTTTAACTTATTATTAATTGGTGACCTAATTTGTGACCTAACGGTTTTGTTTCTTTTGGAGAATATTTTTATGAACTAAATATTCTCTCCATAAATAAGTCGGGTATATTTTAAATACAATTTAAGATTAAGTCCCGACATTACAATTGTTGAATTAAAAATTTTGTGTATATTGTGTGGGTGTGTAACAATGTTATTGATTTCGTGGTATCTTTCTATTGCACGTCGAGAGTTCAAGATCAAAGAAAAAGTACGAATTTCGGTAAGATTCCACCTATTTGGATCCTATATAAATCAGCTATGAAAGGTTACGATCCATGACGGAAATCATATCTACAATATAGAGAACCATTCCAACACATCAAGAACGAAAGTTTCCATGAAGTTAACGTTTTAGATCAGCTTCTACCGGCGAGTTAGAGTTTGTGGGACGAGATTATCCTTTAAAGAGGTGGAATCGAGCTAGAGGGAGAGCACTCCTTTAAGTGGGTAGATCGTCACAACGAGCATAGAGCACTCATTAAGTACGTAGGTCTCTTACAACACGATACTTTGAACACTAACTATCGTCTATAAAATTGTAAATAATATCATATACGTTATCTAATTCCTACGCCTTTTGTATAAAATGAAGATATTTTTGACCCGTTTTAAAATTTAGGGATATTATTAAAACACGAGAACATTGGAATAATTTTATATTTGTTGTAATAGAAATAAAAATAAAAATATGAAAATGACAACAAAATTAGAAGCGTCACTAAAAGGTATGTTTTGGCCTATTATTTGTTTGTTCCTTATATGAGTTATTAATTAAAACTTTAAAAAATATGTAGCCGACCTAGTGGATTTATGTTTTGGAACCTTGTTTAAAAATTATATATATATTTTTATTTCTTTAATAGATAATAATTAACTGTAACGGGTTAAAATATTATATTTCTAATTAAAGAAGCGAGTCGATTGAGTCCTATTAATTCTTTAGAAAGATAATTATTTTTTAATTATTGAAAACGATGTTGAGAAAATATATTAATTTTTAATTGTATTTTTTCATTATTTATATATCAAACTCAAGTGAATCATAGCCGTTATGAAAAACTAGCTTTCGTTATTTTAAAAGTGAATGAAATAAAAACTTTTCAAAATAAAAGAAAATATTAACTTATTGGAACAGTAGATTCATGTCTCAATCATCGAACCCTTCTGTCACGCCCCCATATGCTCTTGACATGCTCGTGTGTGTATATATATATATATTACATTTATGACTGAACTAGTAACTTTTCTGGTCACCTGTATGTAATTTATGACATAAACATTGTAATCCAAATCAACCCATTAAAATTTAATCCATTTGGTTAGCAAAAATCGAATAATAATTGAAAATGGATTGAACATAAAAATATTTAAAAATGAAAACATGTTAATATAATTGAATTAGCTTCATAAAATTGCATGTGAAATAATAAATATCCATAAATAAAATACAAATTTATTTATTATTATTAAAAAAAAAAAAAAAAAAAAAAAGTGGTTGGGAAATCAAAGGGTGGGTAGAAATGGAAGAATAAAAATTGACCATTCACCAAAATAATAATTCAAAATTAAACCCAAATTATTTGACTTTATCATCCCGACATTTGCTGTCACACTGACATCTGTCACCAATCTTTTGATTTGTCTGTCACATTCCCTACCTCACCACTGGGTTTGACTTTAAAATCATAAGTCCTTTTAAAATGATTTGAGGTTTAACAAATATTAAATAATTATTAACGAGAAATATATATATTTTTTCTGTCTATTTAATTTAATACTATAAATTAAATAATTATTTAATTAATTATTCTTTTCTTCCATATTTATTAAATACAATGGACTGAATTGAAAATTGTAAATGTACAAAGGGACTAAATTGGAATTTCACAATAACATACGGACTAAATTGACATATATATTCTCGAACCAAAATTAAACAAATAAAACGAGATACAAGAATCAGAAGTCGAACCAAATGATAATGTACTAATTTTAAACTCCCATTTGCATATATTCTTATATTATATAGTTTCTAGAATCGAGAAGATTCGGGAAATCTATATGCCATCCCTTCCCCAAAATTTAGTGGATTCCCACCTAACAAGAAATATGGGACATAATGTGCCCAAAATCTTTGTACCAAGATCTTATATTAAGATTGAAAACCATATAATATAATATATATATATATATATATACACACACATATATGTCCCTCTTAATTATGTGTCACATGAGGCTTTACCATGCCTATGTGTTGCGTTGTCCAATGGCTTTGATTTTTAAGGACACCTTGGCCCATCATTGTGGGTCCCATCCCCAACAAAGTTCAACAAATTCATTGACAACATCGACACTTAAGGTTGTCATTTACCGCAAAAAAGGGTTTACCGCAAAAAAGGGAAGTTGGGACGTAACTAAAACTCGTGTGTTCGTAACAGGTCTAGTTTAAAAATAAGTTGTTTTTTTTCATTATAACTAGATAATTTAGAGTAAAAATAACCGAACTCGTTTGAAAAGTTAGAAGGATCTATCTGCTGTTTTTAAAAGTTAAACGGATTTGTTAGCTGTTTTTAAAAGTTTAGAGACGTGTTAGACACAAATATAAAAGTTCATGAGCTAAACTTGTAATTTAACGTTCTCGAGCCGCAATTTTGTTCTTTATCTTACGCTATAAAAAGTGGGCACAAAATTAAAAGAAGAGAATTGAAGAAAAATTGGATGTGGACATTGTTGTTGGTCGGAAAGGGAGCTGTTTTTCAAACATAATTGCTTGGGACGACATTTAACCGACAACCCTTACCTCTTTAACTATAAATTACTTTTTTTTTTTTAGGGAAAATCTGTCATGGTTGACCTTTTCTTTATTTACTTTTCTATGTTTTAGTCATTTAAAATTAGTGATTTACTTTTCTATAAATTTACAGATGTTTATTCTATCTAGTTTGAATTTTGTTTCGGTCCATGTAATTTCAATAAATATGATTAATCCCCATTTCTAACGTCTCATGTCCCATCATTCGAATTAGGATTCGACACCTAATGACCCTGACATTCTCTTGTGACATAGTCATGTTACTTAATCCTCGCTTTTTAAGAGTGAAGACTATCCCCACAGACCAACACGAGTCCTCCCAACATGCTTTGTTCTCACCCACATGCATCCAAAAAAATTCCTATGAAGTCATTTAACATAGAATTGCTTCAAGTAAAACATGTTTAACCATGGAGCTCTTTTGATTGAGCCATGGAAAAGAAAAGTGCATCTTGTTCGTATACTTTGATATTAGTATATAGATCATGACGTGAAATACTCATAGAACAAACATGAATTTATGTAATAAATGGCCGAAGAAAGTAAAGAACGATCGAATTGCTTGAAAAAGAAGGTTTGTTGCACCTGATACTTTTGTGGGAAAAGATCATAGAATGGAAACTTTGGTGGGATGATTTTGTAAAGAGGAGAAAAGAATGTGAAGCAATATTGGAAGAACGCCCCTTTTACAGAGCTCACATGGTGTGAATGATGGGAATGGATAATAATGGTGGTAGGTGAGGTAGTTAGCCAATGACCATTACGACCATTTGCTTCAATTTACTTCAAACAGATCAAACACAAAACCCTCAATCATGCTCGACTAGATTTATAGTCTAAGAGACCAATCATAACTATGATTACGGGTGAAAATTTTAACCGTAATCACTTAAATATGCAGACAATGAAGTTAGAGTTTCGTATAAACTTCGAACAAACACAAATAGAGGACAACGCTTAGGTATCTAGGCCATGAACGCCCAACCAAGTGCACACGAATAGTTAGGAATCACAACTCTCTCCACAATTGTATAATATTGTCCACTTTGAGCATAAGCTCTCGTGACTTTACTTTTGCTTTCCTCAAAAGGCTTCGTACCAATGGAGGTGTATTTCTTTACTTATAAATCCATGATCAACCTCTTAATTAGCTGATGTGGGACACCCATTCCCAACAATCCTCAACACAAACAATTCACGCATCCGCTTAGTTGTCGTGCATAGCCTCGACAGAAAAAAACTCTAATACTTACTGCAGTAATACCATCTTTTCATTCCGCATTTGACATGTTATGAACCGATATATTATTTTATTTGCTTAGAGTGCGCCCCCACCTGGCTGTTGCTTTTTTGTACGCCCATACCTAGGGTGTTCCCCATGGACCAAGTAACCATCTAGGGCCTCCCTGCATGTGCCTACGCCCCCAAGTAACGTCTAAACAAGCCCACTCCAAACCCCCTACCTATGCCTTTCAAGGCCTATTTTGAATTGCCATTTGAGGGTTTTCCTTGAGCCTACTCCCCTCTCCTAGCTTCCCTTTGAAGGAACGCCTTTCGAGAACTCCAATTAACCACTCGAAGAGCGAGTCAGCCACACATCCCAAGGCCTAAGTATTGGTCCTCAATACAATTATTGTTATTTTAAAAAGGAAATAAATTCATGACCATTTGACGCTTTCTTCAGTTAGTGAAATGCTTTATCAAAAGAATAAAGAAAGTGGAATGGAGGATGAAAAATAATGATATATAATGAAACAGGGTGTGGTAGTACGTACATACGTTAGTGTAACAGAGACTTGAGTTTCCTTTACAAGTTCTTTGAACGCTCTTGTGATGATTTGTATATGCGAAATGCAGCAATGCACATTGTAGCATTTCCTATAACCGTTAGCATTGCCTGAAGGGCCACCAATACCTGCACTCAACACCAAATCCAAGTCATTTTATATCCTTTTCAGAGTGAGAACTGCACTACCACAACAAAATTTCTTGACAAACAAGAACTTATCAAATTGAAGAGTGAAAGAGAAAGAGAGGTTGTTTATTCTTTTCATGGTAAGTCTGCCTTGTTCTTTTGAAACAACAGCAATGGAATCTGAATCCAGTAAACCTAAACCCAGAACAGAGATAAGCTTGGTTCAGTTTCTTCTAAAGAGAGAGAGAGGTGTTGAGAATTGTTGGGAGAGGAGTCTCATATCGGCTAATTAAGGGGTTGATCATGAGTTTATAGGGAATACATCTCCATTGGCATGAGGTCTTTTGGGAAAACCAAAAGCAAAGTCATGAGAGCTTATGCTCAAAGTGGGCAATATCATACCATTGTGGAGGTTTGTGGTTCCTAATATGGTATCAGAATCATGCCCTTAACTTAGCCATATCAATAGAATCCTCAGATGTCGAACAAAGAAGTTGTGAGCCTCAAAGATGTAGTAAAAAATGACTTAAGTGTCGAACAAAGGTGTACTTTGTTCGAGGGCTTCATAGGCCTCAGGGGAGGCTCTATGGTGTACTTTATTCGAGGGGAGGATTGTTGAGAATTGTTGGGAGAGGAGTCCCATATCGGCTAATTAAGGGGTTGATCATGGGTTTATAAGTAAGGAATACATCTCCATTGGTATGAGGCCTTTTGGGGAAACCAAAAGTAAAGCCACGAGAGCTTATGCTCAAAGTGGACAATATTATACCATTGTGAAGGTTCGCGGTTCCTAACAAGAGGTACTGAGGTAGTCTATATCCTTATAGAGAAAGTAAGAAAAAGATCTGGTTTTCACAGTAAGGTTGTTCTTGTTCTTTTGAAACTTCAGCCAATATAATTGGAATACTATCAACCTAAACCCAGAGAGAGATCAATTTGGATCAGTTTTACTTCCTCAAGCTGTTCACAATCATATGTGACATCCGGAAAATACTTGCGTGATTACACAACAAATGGTTATGTTGGAAGTAATTTGAAAGAAACTTATGGCAGAGTGAAGCAAAGTAGAGGAAGGGAAATGATCGGAAGTTTTCTTCACATCTATTAATTTTCAGAAACAATAACCATGAATCATACTAAATAATTGGTATTTAAGAAAAAATAAAACAACTCAATCGAAACCAAGAAAATTTCAATTCATCTCAAATAGAAATCAAACGTCCCTAATTCTTTTGCATTCTTCCCCACCATCATTGAGCACAATATGAAGAACAAGTCAAATTTGATGCACAAAACTAATGCCATCCAGCAGATACTAACAAATTTGGATACTTTGCAAACATGTATCTGATGCTGCAATTGAAGCAATGAAGATAAAAATGGGAGCACTTCCTCTTCTAGGTGTTCTTAGTTTAGTTTTTTTTTTAAACAAACTGCACCGTGAGAAATTCATAATTTGAGGACTTCCATGCCGGTTCAAATACTTGACTGAACATGAAACCGATATAGAAGAAACAGTTGCTCGGTAACAAAATTTCAAGATAGGAGTAGGAACTCAGAGTCCTGATTGATAACAAAACAAGCAGCAAGAAGTTGATTCTCCTTATGATCACAGTTCAAGGATAGAATTGAAAACCCAAAACAACGATGGACATAGTCATAGACCCCCAATTAAGAATTTCCGAAGCGATATAGAGGCGGGGAGTATACGTGGCTGCAGGGGAGAGTTTGCTAGGAAGAGAAGTTTGTCATGAGTACCAAGGACTCAAGTGAAAGCTTGACAGAGCAATGTCGCGTGGAGGTAGAAGGCCTACGGGTTGTGAACTTTTTTTCCCGGAAAAGAAGCAATGACGGTATCTAAGGGGTAGAGAGGGTACTTGTGCAGCGTAAGTGAGGGGGGCATCTTTCGGCTGTTTTGTTTAAGGTTTGGTATTGATAATTACCCTTAAAATATCAATAACAGGCAGTGTTCATACCATTACGTCGGGAGCCAAAGCTTCCTAATCAATGGTTTCCTTTAGGACTAATTTGAAAAGTTTAATCAAACTACACTGAAATGGTCTAAATTCCATCCTGAGCATAATTGAAAGAAGCTAAACTATATCAGCTAAGAACTTTAACAAATCATCATGATCAAGAACTAGATTAAAAATTCGTACGCATTATTTAGAATATATGAACACTATCAGTCATTTCATTACGTCCAGCAAGATCTTGCAAAAACAGACACTTACTATACCTCAAGAGACTCAGAATTGTAGAAAAAATGCAATGTGCAAGCACAAAATGCTCCACCTAGCAAGGGTACCTGCTCAAGTTCCATAAATAAGTGGATGGGAGAAGATAGATGAAAAGGCAATTATAGACAAAGAAAAAGAACTTACCATTCCCCAAGAAAGTCCTTTCCAAGACTCATTGCCAGATTTCTCTCCATACTGCCACACCAAAGCCATTGCTGCAATCCTTACGACACAAGACTTGTGATCAACAAATTATGAACCAAGCTAGCCAGCAGCAGCATATGAATTGCTTGGTTTATCATTCTTCCTTTTCCTTTAATTTCTTATTCATCAAATGGGTAACTAAAATGCAGAGTCTATTTCCATGGAAATAATTAAAGAACACTTGTGAATTATAAAAGATTGAATATACTCTAACCTATCAATATAAATTTTTAGGTTTAGTGCAGTTTGTTAGGAAGGAATCATGACTCTCCACAATGGTATGATATCACTTTGAGCATAAGCTCTCATAGCTTTGCTTTGGGCTTCCCCAAAAGGCCTCATATCAATAAAGATATATTTCTTACTTACAATAAACCCATGATCATTCTCTAAATTAGCCAATGTGGGACTCCATCCCAACAATCCTCCCCTTGAACAAAGTACACTATAGAGCCTCCCTTGATGCCTATGGAGTCCTCGAACAACCTCCCCTTAATCGAGACTCGACTCCTTTCTCTGGAGCACTCGAACAAAGTACACCGTTTGTTCGACACTTGAATCACTTTTGACTACACTTTCAAGGCTAGCAACTTCTTTGTTTGATACTTGAGGATTCTATTGACATGGTTAAGTTAATGGCATGACTCTGATACCATGTTATGAATCACGACTCTCCACAATAATATAATATTGTCCACTTTGAGAATAAGCTCTCTTGACTTTGTTTTGGACTTTCCTAAAACACCTCGTACCAATAGAGATGTATTTCTTACTTATAAACCCACGCTTATTCCCTAAATTAACCAAGGTGAGACTCCCTCCCATCCCAACCATTTATCATAGCATCTAAACATTTAAAATTTTCAGCAACATTCCTACACTTCTCTCTAAAATTATTCGAACTTCTCATGAGTTTGGAGAAATTATCACTTCTTACAAGCACGTTGAAGATGATAACAAGGGAAATTTCTGGAAAAAAAAACATCGAACAAATTCTATTTCTAGAAATCATTACAAAAAAGATTGACAGATCCTCACCATTCAACGACGATGGAAACATGTACGGCCCAGGTGGGCAAGGACAGAGCATTTTGGGGCTCGTTAAACAGAAGCGAAGACTGGAATTCCGTCGCAGCAGAAGGCGATGCAGGTCCCAGAAAGGAGAGAGTGAAACCAGTGCCGAGCAAAACCAGGATGGATTTCGAGTCCAAAACTCGACCGGCGCCGCCTCTCCGGAGTCGAATTCCGGTAGGAAGTTGAGAAGTAGCGGCAGAAGCTCTGGACGTGGGCAGTGAGGAAGAAGAAGAAGAAATGGGGCATTTGGGAATTGAGAAGGAATGTAAGAAGGTGGAAGAGAACGACATGATATGAAAATTGGGTGGAAAATTCAGTAAACACTGAAAGATTTGCTCTGAAAACAGCGAATCGCCATCATCTCTATGATTTTGGTTTCTTCTCTTCTTCCTCATTTTCCCACTAAATTATGTTAAATATGAATTTTAATTAATTAATTTATGTGTTTTATTATATGCATTTTCTTTTATTTTTATAAAAATGAAATGAGCTTATAAATGTATATTTACTAAAGATTTTTATATTTTTTATATTTTAAATTTTAAATATGAATATTCTCGTCACTTTTCATATTTATTTTATCAAAATAATAATAATAATAATAATATAACATGATTTTATAAATTCAGTAAATTTTTTAAATAAAAAAAATATTTACTAAATAATGGACTTAACAAATCCAACCATAATTTTTTTGGATTAAGTTCTGGGTCGTTTATTCAAATTTTTTATTTTAATAAAAGTAATATTAATTTGTAAAATATCTATTTAGTTTATTTTTAACCATTTAATTAAGATTTATATAAAAAAATTATTTGGTTGGAGAACAAATAATAAATAAATAATATATATATATATATAGAATTAAATATAATATAGTTTTAGGTGAACGTACGAATGAGTCCAATCTATAAAATTTTTATTTATTTAAACTCAACTTAATACAAATAAATTTATAACTAACTTAGACAGTAGGAATTAGATTGGATTTATCTCGTCTTTTAAATATTCTTAATGTTTTAAAAGTCAACGTCATCATTACGTTATATCGATTCATGGGAAATAATAACCTCCCAAAAACCATTTTCAAATTTGAAGGACGGATTAAAAATTAAATTTTAATATAATAAAAAAATGTTTTATTTCTAAAATCCAGAAACCAAACAGAAATTAAAATAATTTAAAACTTTAAGAACTAAAATACAGTTGTAATGTATTTAAAAAAAAAAACAATAGCATTATATTTTGTAAATTAATGGAAAATTCAAACATTCTACCAAATCTTATAAATTTGAAAGAATTAGAAATTTCCTTTATTAAATGAATTTTTTTCCTCCTCTAAATATTTTTCAATTTAGTAAATATTATTTTAAAATTTAAGTAATGGAATAAATTGAAAATTGTTAAAACAATAATAATAAATGGATGCACTGAATCTTTTTCTACACGCAAATACTATGAACTAAAAATATATATATTTAGAAGAAAAAAATTACATAATTAATATTCAGATTAAATATTTAATTAATCATAATTATTTACTATAGAATAATCAAAATTATTGGTTTTTTTTTTAAGGAATAACATTATTGATTCATTATTATTTGGTAGAATAAAAAAACGAATTATCCAATATTTTATAAAGTAATTTAATTATGATTTTTTATTTTTTATTTTAATTTGCAAGTGGACGCCGCATAAGGAAAAACCGAATAAAATTTAAAATTTAAAAATTAATAATAATTAAATCCAAAATGTCTTTCCCGTCGCCGTCAACAGCACCGCCCAGGAAACTAGACGTTAACTAGCGGCGCCCAACCGCCCATCCAAAAAAAAGTAAATTATTTTAAATTAAACATAAAAAGTTCAATTAAAAATTATTATATAAATTAAATTTTAATTTAAAATAATAATAATAAAAAAATAGTTCGAATTTGGCGACGCTGAAACTCGGTGTAAAGCAGTGGACTCGTGTAAATAGAACGCGTCATGAGTCCTTATCTCACTGACCGTGACGGTGAAGCCACGACAGACCAATGACAGAAGAATCCACCATAGGATTAGCCAATTACACTCTGCCATCTGTTATCCGGCCCTTCACAACCACCCCACGTGTGAGCCCACTGGCGATTAGCGAAATCTCAAACAACGGCAATATTTATTTTTATTTTTTAATTTTTTTAATTATTTTATTGTTTCAAGGAATTTATTGCTTTTCAGTTTCAAGTTTTCTCTTCATTGATCAATCCTTCTTTCTCTGATTCTCTTCCCCTTTTCTCGTTCGCTTCAAATTGGTCTCATTCCTTCTCACACCCTTCTGCGAATCTTTCATTTCCCTCTCTCCCCTTCGTTTTCTAGGGTTTTTCTGAATTTTCCCATCAATTTTTTCTCGCTCTTGACAGTTCTGACGTGGGTAATCACCGGAGGAAGTCCATTTTTGTGATTTTCGAGCTTCTGGTCGGGGGTTTTGCCACCGATGACATATTGTGAGACGGATAACGGCCGGAGAGGGGAAGTGGTGGCGGAGGATATAACGGTGGGAATTGGATGTGATGATGGTAACGGAGACTATGTTAGGTTGGGACAGAACCCTTGTAACTGTGAAGCTGAGGTCTCGTCTGATGGGGGTTCTTCGCAGCCTTGTTCTCCAGGAAGGTCTTTGTGGCTTTGGTTTCGTTTGGTGGTGCTGTTCATTTTCTTGGTGTCATTAGCTGTTGTTTTCTTCAAATGGGTAGGACCATTCTTCATGAATAAGGTCAGTGTTTATGTTAAATTTTGACTGCAATTCTGATGTTTTTCTATTGGAATTGAATTATAGAGTGTTGTTGCTTGGATTTTGCTTTTGTATTTTAGGTTTTTGTTGAATTCTTCATGGAATTGCCTTGTCTCTGCTGTTGTGTTTCTGGGTTTGATTTACTTGCTTGGTTTTGAACCTATAAAATTTGGTTCATAAGGTTATTTATTGTGGTAAGATCAAATTCCTCTTGAAGAAAATTCTTTGTATGTTAATGTCATATTGGAATTCAATATGTTTCTTAATTCTTTTTCTTGCAATTTACGTTATTAGGCATTATTCAGCAGCTTTAGATCTTGGGTTATCTTCTGACTATGTTATCTTCTAGTGAAAAGATAATAATCTTGAAGAGTTCAATGAACTGTGTAGTGTTTCATTTTAGCCTGACGGATATGTTATTTGCTACAGGAAATAATACCGATTATAAACTGGGAAGCTGAAACGTTTAGTACTCCGGTGCTGGCAGTTCTCGTTTTCGCCTCGGTTGCATTGTTCCCTTCATTGTTTTTGCCATCTTCACCTTCTATGTGGCTGGCAGGGATGACATTTGGTTATGGTTTTGGGTTCCTGTTAATTATATCAGCAGTAACTATTGGTGTATCACTTCCATATTTCATTGGCTCCCTATTCTATCGTAAAATTCAAGTTAGTGTTTGTTTTAAGTTTATCTTCTATTCGTCAACTGCTCGACATAGTTCGTATCCCTTTGTAGCTAAACTCTGTGGTCTTTATTTTGCAGGGATGGTTAGAAAAATATCCTAAGAGAGCTTCAGTTTTAAGATTAGCAGGCGAAGGAGACTGGATTCATCAGTTTCGCGCGGTAGCACTAATTCGAATTTCACCGTTTCCTTACATAGTATATAATTACTGTGCTGTAGCAACAAATGTCAGATATGGTCCGTACATCTTGGGGTCGCTGATTGGAATGGTGCCAGAAATATTTGTTACAATATACACGTACGTATGCCCCTCGAACCATACTCATACATACACATGATGAATTCCATCTTTCTTGGATGCTTGCTTGTAAATTTACATTCTCTGGCATTTGAAAATTTACGAATCAGCCTCATATTCCTGCTGCAAGAAACGAGAACCCTTTCCACGGCGATACAACTGTTTCATTAGCTAGCTTGGGAACTTTTATGCTGTAAAATGTTAATGGCCTTACTCTCATTTAAGTCGAATCTGATATGACCACATACGTCGTAAGGAAATTCGCCAAACTTTTCATTGACTCATTGATCATAAAGTACATTATTGTGGAATTTATGGAAAATACTCGGAAAAAAAATCGAGGTGGTGATAGTTTAGGGAGTAAATGTCCAGTGTGACTGTGTTGCAGCAAACTAAACTCGTTTATTATCGCTTGAGATTATCCGATACGTGTTAAGGTAGCTCAAATACTCTCAGATATAGGGGGAAAAAACATGGTGTAGGATTAAAGAGTACTCTTTAAACTAAGAAACTTAGTGACATATGTACTTACTAACCCTTGTCGGTTTCTTCGGATTAAATCTACACTGTTTTTCCTCTTTGATATTGCCTGTCTAGTCTTTGAAAATTTCTGTAAAATATTATGGATAAGTTGGATTATGGATATGATTAATCTTCCTTTTGTCACTGTAGTGGCATTTTAATCAGGACATTGGCAGATGCTTCACAAAACCAGCAGTTCCTCTCGGCCCCTCAGATCGCGTTCACGATCGTCGGATTTTGCGTTACTGCAGCCACGACGGTTTTCTTCACTGTATATGCAAAAAGGAAACTCAACGAATTGCAGACAGAAGACGAACAATTATTGCAGTAGTGAGGCTAAAGTTACTTATTATTTGAGCACATAGAGCCACTGGACAATGGTTGCATCGATCGAACAATTTCATATCCATGTTCGGTTTCAAAGAAGCTTCGAGTGAAGGTAAACAAAGAACTATGCAAATATCTTACACTAGATATCATAAATCGATTACGAAACTCACACCGAAAGCATAAAATGAAACGAAACGAAACAAGTATGTTGTGTTTTATCACTTTGTCTGCTTTGAAATCTCGATTTGTAGTGATTGGAATGAGGTATAATGAAGTGAATTAGATTGGATTTAGGCAAATGCAGGGTGGTGGTCTGTATATGAAATGTTGTAGTGTTGTTTGCTGATTATAGTACATAATAATATTCATTCTTCTGCTGCTGAATAGTTTAACAGTGAATCAGTGTGTACAATTCCCATAATTGTTGGCCTCACATGGAAGTTCTTTGTGTTTGCCTTTATCTGTATGCTTGTGATGAGACTGAAGGATAATTGCACTGTGAGATCGAAATGTCTTTAAAAGAATCTTATCTTCTTCTGCTGCTGCTGCTACTAGGTCCTACTTACATGGATAGATTAGATAAAATGGATGACTTTCTTTTGGACTCTTCTCGAGAAGAAGAAAATATCGGTCGTTCTAAGATCGTTTTATTACTAACTTGAGAATATATGATGTTTTAAGATTGTTCTATTACTAACTTGAAAATATCTGACGTTCTATGATTGTTCTATTGTTTAAAGATTGTTCTATTACTGAAGAATATTGGTCGTTCTAAGATCAATCGTTCTATTA